GACTGCCCAGGGGGCGCGGCCGCGGCTGCAGGGGGGCGGGGGGCGGGGACATCGGATCCGCTTCCTTCCCTTCAGCGGCGTTCCTAGCTCGCACGTCGTCAGCGCTGCTCGCCGAAGCCCTTCACACCAGGCCTGGGCCGCGCAGAGCAGGACCCGCTGCCGCCTCGCTCCGCTTCCCGGGAGGGCGGGGCTGAGCCACCAGCCGAGACCGCGAACCGGAGTCCGAGGTCGGGCGCTGCGGGGAGGATCCGCCGCCGAAGGCCAGCCAATGGTTTCGTGCGGCGTACGTTGCCTGGGCGATCGCAGCCCCCTTTCGCTGCCCCTGTCCTCCTGCCCCTCTCCGCAGGTCACCTCTCCACCCCTCACTCTTCGGGACCCTTCAGCGGGGCTCCAGGCGGCCGTCCGTCCCCGTCCCCCTGACGCCCGTCCTGCCTCTCCCCGTATGGCACCGGCGCTGGGGAGACGGGTTCGCGGCTCCCCGCTACCCGGGGCACAGAGTCCAAACTGCTCACTTTCTCCACAAAGCCCTTCACGGTCTGGCCCGGGCACATTCCTTGCTCCCTACCTTCCTGCCACACCAGTTTGGTTTTGAATCGGCTTCCGGTCCCTCCACCACCGCGAACACAGAGATTTTGCCTGTTTCTTTCCTTTATCCCCAGTGCCTACAGCAATGAGGGCTACATAGCAAGTACTCAAAGGGGAGAATTAAAGGGGGTCAAATATATGGTAAGGTTGGAAGCTAGACTTTTGATGATGAGCACACCAGACAGGATACAGATATTGAATTGTAATGTTGTACACCTGAAATTTACGTAATGGAATAACCAGTTACCTCAAAAATTAACTTTAAAAATATTTCTGGATAAATCAATAAAAAAGAATGTAAGAACATCTGTAATTCTTTTAACAATAAAATACATTTTTAAAAAGAATTGAAAAGAAAAAGGTTTCTGGACCTTTCAACTTGTTTCCCATTCTGAACATAGACCCTCAACTCCCAGGCTGCCTTTCATCAGAAATCATGTCAAAGGTTTCCTCTTCCTGGAAGCCCTCCCTGACGCTCCAGGGTGGATTGATTCTTACGGTATCCTGTTTTCCCCATTGAAACCCTCATCCTTTCCCTGGACTGTGGACTCCCTGAGGATAGGTACCAAGGTTATCCTGCTCACCAACTGTATGGTCACAGCAACACCTAGCAGAGGGCTGGACACAAGCAGGCATCCAGTGAAAGTTTGTTAAGTGCCCAGACAATGTGGCAGA